AATTTGTACCTAATGTTTGATACTCTTTTTATGTCTAGTAAGTAATTTAATTATTCTCTGAACTTTTGAGCTCAAAAGGAATTTTATTATATTGGATAGGGGTTTGTAAATAGTATATTTTAGGTTCAGCGTGGTGGTAACATACACCTTTAATGGTAGTGCTGAGGAGGCAGAGGCAGGCAAATCTGCATGAGTTCAAGGCCATGCAGCAAGTTCCAGGTTATCCAGGGCTGCATAGTGATACCCTGTCTCAAAAGAAAGCATGTTTTAAAATAATGATTAAACACTTTTCATAACATACTATAAGAAACTGACAACAATAACATCATCGATAATTCTGGGATGATGGGGGTAGAGCGTAGTGAACACATGGGGTTGGAGTCAGACAGAGGTGAAACCCTAACCCAAGCAATTGAGCTATGCATGCCAGTGAGCACAACACTTGAAAGACAGAAGCAGAAGTAGGAGTTCAAGGCTGTCCTCTGCTACACATCAAGTTCATGGTTGCCTACACAAGACCTTGTGTCAAAACAGAGAAACAAACAAACACAAAGTAAGTGAAGTCATGCTCCACTGAGATCACCTCATGACCTAGGCCACATTTCCTAACTTAAGTCCTTTGCTCACCTACAAAAATCCCACGATCCTTCTTCATCTTCCCTGTCCATTGGTTTGTGACATCTGCGATTATATCAGTCATGTGTAATATTTAAGACTTTATCAAACATTTTCAAATATTTTACTTTTCAAAAAACAGTTGTAGTGTTAGGCCTTTGGTACATACCTTTAATCCCAACACTCAGGAGATAGAAGCAGGGGAAGTCTCTGAGTTCAAGGCCAGCCTGGTCTAAATAGTGAGATCCAGGACAGACAGGACTATGCTGAAAAACCTTGTCTCAAAAAAACATCTTTTAAATTAACATACAAAATCATGGGTTCATTACATCACTTTCATGTGTATATATTGTTATATTTTTCAATCACTATCCCCATTGTCTTCCCAAGCCCCCCTCCACCTCATCCTTTATTCATTCCCTTTGTTCCAGGCCAGCCAGAAATACACAGTGGACCCTGTTACCCCTCCAAGTATATTGGGGGAAAGGAGACATGATATCCATAAATTGCCTAGCATGAAAGCACAAGAACCTGAATTTCATTCCCAGTACCCATGTAAGGGCTAGGCACAGTGGCATACATCTATAATCCCGGTATTGGGGAGGTGGGGACAGGAGGATTTGTGGTACAAGGTGGCCAGTGAGTCTAGCTAAATTAATACGCTTCGGGTTCTGTGAGAGACCTTGTCTCAAAAAAATAGATAGTTGGCAAGACTGCGCAGTGGGTAGGGTACCCGCCACCAAACCTAAAACCTGAGTTCCATTCCTGGGACCCATGTGATGAAAAGAGAGCACCTCTGTTCCTCAGAAGCACACTGTGACATATATGCATGCATGTGAGCACATGAGCAAGTGGATATAATGTATGCAAACAAGGGGGGTGTGACTTAAAGTACTTTCAATGAATAAGTAATTGCAAAATGTGAAGAGAGAGGTTAAGGAATACACCTAACATTGACCTTTGGCCTCCCCTTACACACACACACACACACACACACACACACACACACACCAAGGGTTAAGGATGTAGCTCAATTGGTAGCATGCTTGCTTATGGTACATAAAACCTGACTGCAATCCCTAGCACCACAATAACTACAGTCTCAGCTTTCTTGAAGCAGAGAAAGTAGGATGAGAAGTTTAAGAACAGCTCTAGAAACACAAGACCCTATCTCAAAACAAAACAAAACAAAACAAATTCCACTGTATGTACCACATTTTCTCCTTTTTTTCTTCACCCCCCCCCCATGAGAACAGAGTCTTACATATTCTAAGATGACCTTGAACTTGCTAGATAGCCAAAGATGACAGGATTGGTAACCTTCAACTCCTGATCCTCCTGCCTCTATCTCCAAACTGCTGGGATTACAGGCATGTGTCACTATAACCAGTTTTCTTTTCTTTTTTGAATGTGGTACAGGTGATCAAAGCCAGGGTTTGGTGCATGCAAAGCAACTACACTACCCTATGAGCTACATCCCAAGTCCAGCTGGAAGGGCTTTTTCAATAAATAACATTTTCTATATTGAAGAAATTCCCTTGGACTCTATAGTTTGTTGAGCTTTATCCCAATAAGGCCCTGTGGGTTTTATCCAAATGATTTTTGTGCTTTTCAAGATGAACATGTATATTTTATCCTCCATTATCATGCTATATTGGAGAATTAATAATTGATTTTTTTTTAAGGTTCGAGAGATCGGATAGTGGTTAAGGGCACCACTGGCTATTCTTGTAGAGAACCCGAGTTTGAATTCCAGCAGCCATATGACATCTCATAAGCATCTGTAACTCCAGTCCCAGGGGATCTAATACCGTCTTCTGGCTTCTGTGGGCACCATACACTCAAGTGATACACAGACATATATTCAGGCAAAACACCCATACACAGAAAATAAAATTTTAAAATAATGTATTTTTCATGTCAAAACAACTTTGCATTAATGCAGTAAATCCCCACTGGTATGCAGTTCCTAGTAAGTAATTCTTTTTATGTGTTTCTGGGTTCCATTTGCTACTATTTTGTTGATGGATTTTGTGCCTCTATTTATAGACATTTTGTTCATAAGATATAGTGATCTGTAATTTTATTGTGATATCTTTCTTTGGTTTTTGCATCAGAATGACAGTGGCTTCAGAATGTGCTGAAAGATATTCTTGTCTCCTTTTAATTTTTTCCTTTTTGTTTTGAAGACAGTGTCTTGCTGTAGCCAAGACTGGCCCAGGACTCACTATATAGTTTAGGCTGTCCTCTGATCAATTCATGGTAATCTTCCTGCCTCAGACTCTCAAATGCTAAGGGGGACCATGTGAAAACAAGAGTCGGGAGAAGTCCAAGGCTAGTTTCAGAAACATAGTGACTTAGAGGCTAACCTAGACTATATGAGACTCTGTCTCAAATAAAATGGTACAGTATTAGAATCAGGCATTGTGGTATACACTTGTAATACCAACACTTAAAAAACAGAGGGAGGACCATTGCCATAAGTTTATGGCCATCCTTGCATATATTATGAATCCCAAGCTAGCCAGAGGTATATAGTGAGATTATGTCTCAAAAAAAAGTGGTATACTTGAGACTCTAACTACTGTTGAATTGCATGTACTTCTTTCTATTCAGACCAGTTTCTACATCATGTGTCTGGGACTCAATTGCTGGGTGCCTGTACTGTGTTTCTGTCCTAGCTATAAGTCTTAGTGAAAAGTAACACTGACACATTGATCTGGCCTTGTCAAACTGGAGTTTGAAAAGTATTTCAAGGTTTGTTTTCCAATACCTTGGCCACTATGATGATTCTGAAGTCTCTCCAACCTAGATTCAATCGCAGGTTGCCACTTACAACCCGTATGACCTTAAGTAAATCATATAACCATTTAAGTCTGTTGCTTCCTTTGTTAAGTGGGGATATTGATACCTGCCTCACTGGTTTGTGAAAACAGAATGGGATTATATGACATTTATCCTGGCTGTTTTTATTGTTGTTTTAGCTTGTTTGTTTGAGACAGGGTCATTTGAATCCTAGGCTGGTTTCAAATTCACTATGTAGCCAAGGACTGTCTTGAACTCTTTGATCATTCTTCCTATACTTCCCACGAGCTGGGATGGCAGGCATGTGCCATCATGCCCAGCTTTGCAATGGCTTTTCATCTGTCTGCAGATAGCAGAGCAAGCTGTCATTGTCTGAGTATAGTCTCATTGATGATATGAGATGATTTCCCAAAACAGTGTGATAGAGAAGCCACTTAGAGATAGAATTTGCTGTGGATAGGGCTCAGATGTACATACCTGCTATCAAGAGCTGTTGCTAAGAGCATTTTACCACCGGTAGTGACCTTGCATGGATACAGGAGAGTAATAAGCTTTGAAGGATTATAAGAATCATGGCCTGTGCTCATTCCACACGCCATACTCCACCTTACCTCTCCTACACACTACAAATTCTGATGGCCAGAATTTGACCAGTAGGTAGCTATCCTTTTAAGGCCTCTGGGGATCTTGGCCATAGACATTTTTGAAATATAAACTCTTGAAACTTGTACTAGCCAAGATAGGGAAGGTTGTCTGTTTAATTTTGATTTTGTTTGTGTGCTTGGTTTCTGAGACACAGACTCATATCGTATAATCCAGGCTGGAGCTTACTGTGTAGCCTAGGCTAGCCTCAAATACATGACAGTCCTTCTCCATCAGTCTTCTAAGTGTGAGCCACCATGCTCAGCTTGTACTAGTTTAACACCTTCTCAGTAAATGCAGTAAGTTCTCATACCAATTTCTTGGGCTAGAAGACATCCAAGATCACAGGAGACCTACAAAGTACTGGTAGTAATTATGGCTTCACAAAGGGATGGAGGCAGTGACAGAAACAGGAACAGATCTAACAGCAACATAAAAAAAAAAACCAACAACAACAACAACAAAAACCTCATCCATCTCCTTAGGTATGTTTCCAGCACACTCTCAAACCAGCCATATCCGTGGAAGGATCCTATGGTACCTGACATCAAACCATGCTTTTTTTCCTTTTCAGAGTTGATGAGGCTTTTGCATCTCTGGCTTTCACATTCTATTCACTCTGCTCTTGGTATCAGCAGTGATATGGTCCGTCTGCTCCCCTCTCCCTACTCTAATCTCTAGCAGCCAGGCAAAGTGCTCTCTCTCTCTCTCTCTCTCTCTCTCTCTCTCTCTCTCTCTCTCTCTGTCTCTCTCTCCCTCTCCTCTCCCTCTCTCTCTTCCCCTCCCCCTCCCCTCTCCCCTCCTCCTGTCCCTCTGCCCGGCTCGGCTAGCTCGGTATCTCTCACCCAGTCACACTGCACCTGGGCCAGAGATGCTGAAAAGGCTCAGCTAAGATGCTCAGCAGCAGGCTCACCTGTGCATTCTCTTTTTGGATTTAGATCACATGCACAGCGCCCATCGCCCTGTCACTGGGGGCCACCTGGGGAAAAAGGAGAGTAGTTATGTGGGCAGCGTGGGCGCCAGCCCTAGGAAGTCGAGCCGATGCACGACGCCGCCTGCCGACTCTGAGCTTGTCAGCTTCTGCTACCTCCACATGCGGGAACAAAGGAAGGAGCAAGAAAGCAGGACGAATGTCAACGAGAACCTAATCTTCTTCGAAGAAACCAGGCCCCGGACCAAGTCCGACCCCACATCCAAAAGCTCGGGCCAAGGTTATGAGGTGATTCCCGATGACTTTGATGCAGCCAGCCTAGACCATGAGCCTTGTGCCAGCAGGGCCCGGTCCTACACTTTGGACAATTCCCTTGGGGCTGAAGCCCTGAATTTCTACTGTGACTCTTGCAAAGTCAAACTCCAGGAGCAGCTGGGGCCTCGAAAAAGTGGGAGGCCTGGCTCCTCTCGGGACAATATGGTAGATTTAATGTCCCTCCCACCACCAGGAAGTGAGGAAGAGGAGGAAGAGGAAGATGAGACAACTTCTCTGTTGCCAGCCATTGCGGCCCCACCCCCTGGATTCCGTGACAACAGCTCTGATGAGGATGATCCCAAGCGCAGGGCTGTTCAAAGTCAGGAGCAAGGACGTCACCTGCGTGGGCTCCTGTATGATGAGATTCCAGTGACACTAATCGACAGTGTACAGACCCGGACAGTACGAGATCATGCCCAGGAGCTAGATGATGCTCTGGTGTCTACTCTGCAGGCTCTGGAAGCCCTAGCTGCTTCAGAGGATGGACCTCACCCCCCACCCCCACAGACTGCAGGTAATAGCGCATCCCCCCTTGCTCTCACCCTCTTCTGGTCCAGGAATGTTCAGTAGGCAGCATTGCCTCTTTTCAAGCACTTGTTTAAGTGACTATAGTGTATCAAAGGCAATGAATTGGCAGCAACAGTTCAGGTCTCCAGAAAAAGGAAGCTATGGAGCAGAGATGTGATTTGGCTCTAGTTAGAGCTCTATAATTCATGATTCTGCATCTCTGAACACTTATTGCAGA